TATATCAAATGGCAGGCGTCTTGATGGTTATCATTAGCCATTTAGTTGACTTCAGGCTTCACAGAGGGGAAGAAACATCAAATTGAAAAAAGTCGAGAGAGGGGGAACGGAAGAGTGTTTCAAAGATGTAAAAGAGACAGACACAAAGGTAGAGAAAGGGTGAGGTGAGTACTGTGGAAGTAGGCGAATATGAAATACGGTGGGGTCTTGGTAGTTTGAAGTCAGAAGTCAACTGCCAGTTGATGGACTTTTTTGCCGTATGAGTATACGGTGCCCAGGGTGCACCACGTGGAGTAAGTCTATCGCACACCCCACGTGTTATATATAATGGTGGTTAATGTAAGTAAGGATAAAATGCTTTTGTGTTAGCGCTTCAAAAAGCGAATCAAACCGAAAGAAAACCTAAATAGATATCAAAATCCATATTTTGAGCTGCGTATTTATTTTAGTCCGAGTTATATCATTTATCAAGTAAGATGGACAGATGTGATGCTAATTTCTCTTTATAATTCTCAAATCTCTTGATATTTTCCAAACCCAACACCTGTGTGAAATGTGACATCTATAAGCTTAGCTGCAAAATTCGCATTATATCATTTTAACATCTATTATTATGCATCAATTCTCTCTGCATTGTAGGAAGAGTTGGAACAAATCCGTGAAGCTGATGAAGAGCCCCTAAAAACCTCTGGTTCGAAACGTCTGCCGCCGCCGCCGCCACCCGCGTTGGCAACCTCCAAACACACGCCTTCCCCACCACCTACTAAGAGACGAGCTGTAACTACATCTTCAACATCTCCACAGCGTACCCTCACTGTGGCTGATAGAAAACGAATGGCGGCTGCTCAACAAGAAGCTGCAGCGAAGTCTGCTGTTACGAAAACTCGTAGTTCAACATCTGGGGCTACACCTGCTGCAAAATCCACACCTGTAAGTTGGAATTTGTACAGCATTCTCTTGCATATTTTTGGATTTATTCTCTTCCAGAAGATGTATAACTTTAGTGTGCTAAGTTTATTGAAAAGTTGGGGGATTCAGTCCCCTTGTTTCGAAATTTTAATTCATTTACTGCTCTATATTATTACCTTCCCTCTAGTTAGGTTAAAACTCCATTGGTGAGATGCGATTTAAATTAGGCGGATACCATCTCGAGTGGAGCAGTGGTACTTTAATGTGAAGGGGTGCTAAGAGCCCATATTGTGAAATATTTTGTCCCAGCACGACAGTAGTGATAATTCTTTATTCCCTTGAAAAAATGGAATTTTGATTTAGAATGTCACATTCAGGCATACTTCTGCTGGTCTATGCTAATGATCGCTAATGGTTTTTTTATTATATAAAGACAATGGGTAACAAGTTCTCTGGAATATGAACCGGAGATCGGGGGCTAAAAAACATCAATTAATGAAGATTGGCCATCTTATTTGTGAGTAACAGGTTATCTAATTGAAGTAGCTAATTGACTTCCTGAATCAGAATGGATAAAGTATAGTGGAAACTCACCATTAAAATTCGAGATATTGTGAGAGAAGTGACAATTGAAGTATAGAGAATACTTGGAATAAGAATTGAGTGAGAGGGTCTATGTATCAGCGTGAGTTTCGCATGTGTTGTTTGTGCACGACTGAAATAGATGAGAAAAATTGTTAATTTGAATGGACTTTCTAATCGGAGGCTCATGTGCATCTGTTTTTTGTAAAACTCATGGGGTGGTAGAACATACTTGAAATAGTTGCTGTGGTCTTGTCTTGGCTTGTGGATGAAGGCTTTGCTGGCTGTCGAATAAAATATAAGCGAGGGAGGGGATTGTCCATTCTGACCTTCAAGTCGGAGAATAGTTGATAATTGTTGACTGTCATCTGTTAAGTCTAAGCATACATAAAACCTTCCCAAAACCTCAGTATTTGTACATTTAAAAGTAGCGACGAAAAATGTCAATATAATGAGAGCTGAACGAAGTGGACAAATGAATCTTGTTGCAAGCTTAAATTAATAACCTCAATATTCTGATTCACCATTCTGCAGGTTGGTCGTCGAGTTCTGCGTCGACGCATGTCGGACTCCGAAGATGATGTTGAAGAAGATGAAGAGGTGGTTGTTAAAAGAAAGAGGTCTACTTCCGCCACCACCCGTAATGCCACTCTTTCTGTCAAACCAATGAAAAGGGAGGTAATAGAGTCCGTTTCATCGTCCTCATCTGAAGAGAAGGAATCCTATGAGGGTGAGTCAACAACTCTCAAAAAGAGAACCTTCACCTCTGGAAAAGCTGCTTCTGAAATGGTTTCTAACGCTCCGACGAAGAAAACTGCCATTACTGCCAATAAACAACAGGAAGCAGAGGTAACTTTGAAATGTCTCCACTTTATCTGCCTCATTGAATACCGTATGGGATAGAGAGACGACTCTCCCTGGAGTCACAGGTTTAGTTTATAGTGGCTTTAATTACGAACGAGATAGTGGAAAGCAGCTATAATAAACCGAAATGTAATCCCCAAGTGTATCATTGAGTTGTATACATCGATGTCCATGTCAACTTCCCCGTCAGAAGTCACATGATAAGTTCTCATTTGTGTGCATCCAGCCCATATGATCATATATGATTTAGACAGGGAATGGAGTGGAAAGGGTTTCTCATAAAAAATTTCAGGATTTCTTTCCAAGTTTCGTGCTATGACAACTCCTTTTGGGTTTGGTTGTATCGATCAAAAGTTACTTCTTAGGTCAGGCAAGGAGTTCAATGCATATTTAACGATTGGCCTTATTATTGATTAAAATAAGAATAATAGAATGCTTGCTTTTACCAGAATGGCAACGAAACATCTCAATTTGTTTAGAAAAAGGCTAATCTGTCGCTTTCAAAAAAGATTGAGGTTTAACCATTAATATAGGCCCTATTTAACCAGTGCACTGCAGTCGAAACATGCGCGGGGGAATTTAAAGTTAGGTTAACCCAACTTTGGGAAGCCAATCTGAAGAGTACAAGCCTTCTCCCCCCCCTTCCCCCCACTCGTTGCAGATTTGCTCTATTTACTCGTTTTTTGTCGATGCATGTTTGATGAGAATGGGTTAGCACTACAAATATAACTTACAAAAAATTGATATCAGAGTAAATTGAGAAGGCATATTTGTGTACATATGTAATATTTATCTGTGGCTCTGTTGAATGCGTAACATAAGCAACTAGGTTGCTGTTATTGCTGATTCCCCTATACAGTAACTAATATACTTGCCACTACTTTTTCCGTAGAAAAGGTGATTAATTACTCAGTGATACTAGGTATATTTTTTGCAGTCTACCTGTTGGATTTAATACTAATTCTCATAAGATCTAAAATAGCTATATTCCCGATTTTAAGAACTAGTCTCCAATTAACTTCTAGAAACCTCATTGTATCTACAAAGAGCCTTTTCGGGGTGAAAATGCCAAGAGCTAAATATGACTAGTTTACGATATGCCGGAGGCTGATAATTTCGAATAGACTGTGCATTTTGGTCTTATTTTAGTGGGGATTAATCTCTCCC